GGAGGACGAGAAGGAGGAGGAGGAGGAGGAGGTGTATATATATATATATATATATATATATAATGCAAATGTGCGGGGTCCAAGGCCCAGAGCCCTACGCGAATTCGCTTATTATCCATCGCTGTGGCACGGCGGTTGTCTTGGGCGGCCGTGATGGCCCCAGTGTCTTCCAGGAGCGCTCCCGCGCCTCTGCATGGCGGCTCGGGCGGTTTCGATGCGGCTTCATAGTTAACGAACATCTGCGCAAAGTTGCGCCAAGATCGCCCATGTGGCCCTCGAGAGGGCCGAAGGGAGCCTTCAGAGGGCACCACAAAGGCCCCAATCAGAGAAGTCATCAGTCTTCCGTGGTTCCCCAATGGTTTTCTCGTTTTTTTTTTTTCGGGCGCAGCCCGTAATTTGATTATCCGGCAGTAGATTGACTGACTGACTGACAGAACTGACAGCTGAATCACCAATGCCACTAGATGGCGGCTTTATTTCCAGGGGTAAGGATGTTCCGCTGGCCGTAGGGAGTTGAGGAGATTTCGCTGGCAGTTTTAGGCCAGGGGGGGTGAGGATATTTCGCTGGCAGCTTGAAGTCAGGGCGGTGAGGATATTTCGCTGACAGTTTTAGGCCAGGGTGATAAGGATTTTTCGCTGGCAGTTGTCAGCGAGGGGTGCGAGGATAGTTCGCTGGCAGTTGTACGCGAGGGCCGTAGGGATATTTCGCTTGCAGTTTTTTTGGCCAGGGGCGTGCGGATCTTTCGCTGGCAGCTTGAGATCTCGCTGGCAGTTTTAAGCGAGGGGCGCGAGGACATTTCGCGGACTGCTTTAAGCACGGGGTGTTGAGATATTTCGCTGGCAGTTTTAGGGCCAGGGGCGTGAGGATATTTCGCTGGCAGTTTTTGAGTCAGGATGGTGAGGATATTTCGCCCTCAGTTTTAAGCCAGGGCCGTGGGGATATTTCGCTGGCAGTTTTTTTGGCCAGGCGCGTACGGATATTTCACTGGCAGCTTTACGCGAGGGCGGCGAGGATATTCACTGGCAGTTTCAAGTCAGAGGGGTTGAGGGGATCTCGCTGGCAGTTTTAAGGGAGGGGCGTGAGGATATTTCGCGGACTGCTTTAAGCAAGGGGTGTTGAGATGTTTCGTTGGTCGTTTTTTAGCGAGGGGTGCGAGGATATCCCGCCGGCAGTTTGGCTGCGGGCGCCGAGGAAACTTCGCTGGCAGTTTGTTAGCGAGGTGTGTGTGAGGATATTGCGCTGGCAGTTTTGAGTCAGGGCGGCGAGGATGTTCCGCCGGCAGTTTCAGGCCCAGCGGGCCTGCCTTCCCCAGCCGAAGGCCGCACAGCCAGCGCGGTGTATGCGCCCCGCATACGTGCTCGTCCCTCGGCTTTTGTGCTGGCGGGGGGCCGATGGGGCGAGCTGTCCGTTGTTTCGATTTCCGACTGCGTGCATGAGCTTAGAGGCCTCCAGCGTCCCCCAATGCAGCCCAAGAGTACCCCGAGGTGGCTCCAAGATGGCCCATGAGGGCCCCAAGACGGCCAGAGAGGCCCCAAGTCGGCCCAAGAGAACTGGAGACGAACCTCGAGAGGGGCCCGATGGGGGGGGGGGCGGGAAGCGCAGCGTCTTCGGCGTGCTTCCACAGAGTATGGCTCCCAAGACCCCCGAAACTCCCCAAGAGTGCCCCCAGAAGCCCCCAAAAGGCTCCAAGGGTGCACCAAAATGGTGCCATACAAGGGCTACGAGACGCCCGCAAGAAGCCTCCGAAATGCCGTCGAAGCCCTGCCAAAAGATCCCGAGCGGCATTCAGGGAGGTTGCTGGCTCACGACCCAGTCACGGTGGCGAGATGGTTAGGATGCGACACGATAATTCATGCCCAAATGCCACAAGCCGAGCTGGCGGAGTGAGTGGTGCGATTACTTAAATCCATTCGGCGTGTCAGCTTCTCGTTTACGCCGATTGTAGGACAATTCCCAGGCGGTCACAGAGAGGTTCAAAAGGCGCTTGATAAAGCACCAGGAAAACACTTCACGGGGCCACCAGACGCACAACCGTTCCTGTCCAGCCCCATGTTGCCTTGCATCTCCAGATTGATGGTCGCCCCGACTTCAGACTGGTGAGGAGTGACCAGGGGGCACCTCTTCCGTGTCCGCCGGCTGCGGATCCCCAGGTTCCCATTCTTATCGACGTGGTCGTCATGTTAGAGCGCCGAAAGGGCCCCACCAAGGGCCCGAATAAACAAAACCCATTGGTTGTCCATGGGTATTTGAAGGGTTTTAGCGTTGTCGCCTTTTCGGGTTTCCGATCGCCTAAGACGGCCCAAAAGGCTTACAAGACGGCCTAAGAGGCCTTCGAGGCAGCTCCAGGGCAGCCCAGGAGGCTCCAACGACGGCCCGAGAGGCCCCCAAGATTGCCCAAGAAGCTTCAAACGAGCCCCACGAGGGGCCCAAGGCGGGGAACGCGAAGGGGCATTCGCAGCCTTCTCCCCCAGGACGGCTCCCAGGAACCTCAGGAGTCCGTCCCAGGGAATTTCCAGGAGCCTCCAAGCTCGCACCGGGAGGCGCCACACAAGACCACCAGGCGACCGCAACAGGCCTCCAGCATGCCCCCGAAGAGCATGCCGGATGATCCCACGACGCATCCACGAGGTTCCTGACCAACGACCCAGGCACTACGGGAACGAAGAATGACATAAACATAAAACCTCGGAGGTCCGCGCAGATTTCTCTGATCCGCGCTGGACCCCCCTGGCGGCGCCTCTGGCGCCGCCCCTGGCGCGATCCGCGCGGACCTCCGGGTTTTTATGTTCATGCCATTTTTCGTTTCCCCTGCTGGGTTTCTTAATAAGCGTGGGGGGGTACTCCCCCGACGGGGGTCAACCTCGCCTCGTCGTCGCGCCGCGACGGGGGTCGGAGCCTTCGGCGCGGGGTGGCTGCCCGCGACGGGGGTCGGTGTGGGGCTGTCGGCGGGGGTGACGCCCCCCCGACGCTTCTTGAGAAACTCGGAGCGTCCCTGACCCACGGCCCAGGCACGGCGGCGGGACGGCCCGGACGAAGGCCACCCGACAGCGGCACGGGCGCGGCAGCGGAGCGGCGCGAGGCGGGGGCGGCCTCTCCTCCTGGTGGGGCAGGCGGCCTCTCGGAGGCCTCCCGGTGCCCCCTGCGCACCCCCTGCCCTCGGGGAAGGACGCCCCCCGTCGCCCAGCCTCCCTCGGCGCTCAGGAAAAAACCTCGGAGGTCCGCGCGGACCTCCGAGTTTTTGTGTTGATGTCATTGTTCGTGCCCCTTCAGACAACAGATATGATCAAAACAACCAAACGATGACAGAAAACAGCAAACACATAAACGCAATGCTCGTTCCCCTATAGAAGGCCCAGGGGCCAGCGGCCCCGCCGACTCTCCGCCCGCCTTCTGCTGGCGAGCCCCTCGGCCCACCCTCGCTCCTCGCTCCTCCTCCTCCTCCTCCTCCCTCCTGTCCTCCTCCCCCTCCTCCTCCTCCTCCTCCTCCTCCTCCTCCCCCTCCCCCTCCTCCTCCTCCTCCCCCTCCTCCTCCTCCTCCTCCCCCTCCTCCTCCTCCTCCTCCTCATCCTCCCCGCTCCTCCCCCTCCTCGCTCCTCCTCTTCCTCTTTTTTCTCGGTTGTCGCCCCGAGCACGGTGCATCCAGAAACAGCGCGCGCGGGGCGCGCGCGAACGTTTCTGGTCAAATAACAGCGTGCCCGCCCGTCCCGCGTTCGCATTCCCCTTCATCCCTGCCAACTAGTAAGGACAGGCGGTCCACATGTGTTGAGCTACGAGGTGCTTTCTTCATGATCTGTTGCAGCAGGTGCGATGCGGGAACATGTGCGCCAGTGGTTTCCGACGAAACCGTGGCAGCAAGTCTGAATTTCGGCGGGCGTGCATTTCCCCATCTTCCCCATCACCACAATCGTTATCACCATCGTCAGCAGCATCATTGCCGTCGTCCTCATCATCAGCACAATCATCCGCACTATCACCATCACCATCACCATCAGCACCACCATCATTACCATCGTCATCGTCATCGTCATTGCCATCGTCACCATCATCCTCCTCATCCTCATCCTCATCATCATCGTCATCGTCACCATCAGCATTAACATCATAGTCATCAGCATCATCAACATCGTCACCAGCATCATCATCAGCATCATGAGCATCATCAGCATCACCAGCATCAACATTGCAAATATCTTCAGCATCAGCATCATCATCAGCATCATCAATATCATCATCACCACCATCACCATCATCATCATCATCACCATCATCATCATCATCATCATCATCATCATCATTATCGTCATCACCATCACCATCACCATCACCATCACCATCACCATCACCATCACCATCACCATCACCATCACCATCACCATCACCATCACCATCACCATCACCATCACCATCACCATCACCATCACCATCACCACCATCGCCATCACCACCATCACCATCACCATCACCATCACCATCACCATCACCATCACCATCACCATCACCATCACCATCATCACCATCTCCATCACCATCACCATTATCATCATCATCACCATCATCATCATCATCGTCCTCGTCATCGCCATCGTCATCCTCATCCTCATCCTCATCGTCATCGTCATCAATATCGTCATCGTCATCATCCTCACCGGTTTCCTCATGATCGTTATCGTCGATGCCCCCGCCTTCGGTCTTATTTCTGCGTTCCCGGACATCCGCATCATCCTCATCAGCACCATCGTCATCATCATCGCCAGCGTCATCGGTGCCATCGTCAATACCACCGCCATCAGCTTCATCACCATCACCACCATCGTCGTCGTTGTCGTCGTCGTCGTCGTCTTTGTCCCCACCGTTGTCATGAACATCATTTTCGTCATCGTCATCGTCGTTGTCGCCTCCCGGTTGAATTTTGCCAACAAGTGGTGGGTGTGTGGGTGGAATGATCCAGTGAGCATTGGAGGCGGTCACGCGCGGATGTGTACCAAAACCAATTGCACCCCACAGATCGCACCGCGTAGCTTGCACCACAGACTGCACCACCTAGACGACAGCGTAGCTCTGACCACACAGATCGCATCCCGCAGACTGCACCACACACGGAGCTCGCCTCGGGCGAGCAAGCGCCTGCTGCTTGGGGCCCACGCTGGCTGAGCGTGCCCCTCCGCGGAATGGTGGACGTGGGGTAAGCCCTGGACTCGGAGCGTACAAGCCCTCATGGCCGCGAGCTCCGGCACCATGTACGGCGCCTCCCTGAGCGAGGCCGGCTGCAGGGCCGAGTGCGACGCGGACATCCGGTGCACCGCCTACGCCTTCAGCGAGGACGCGGCCCCCCCTCCCGGCCGCCCCCGCCTCCGCTCGGCGAGGGGGGCCGAGGCGCACCGCTCCGTGGGGTTGGAGGACGACTGAGCGCCCCGCGTGAGATGGCCAATCGGGATAGGCCCCTACGACTGTGATGTGCCAGCCTACTTCAGCCTTGATCGCCAGAGAGAATCTCGAGCAGCAGAAAAGTACCGAACCCGGGAGATTTTCACGCGTCGGGCCCCAGGAGGCGATCCTCGTTCCACACCGTTTCGATACTTTCTTGGTGCTCGAGATTATTTCTGGGAAGCGGTTCTTAAGTGCGATGGAGCAACATGACCCTACGACGTCCTCCACAGTTCTTTCTCGCCTACTCTGCTTGCGTACCACGCGGAACTTGAGCAGCCTGCCTGGCACGGTTTTCTGGACGTCGGCAGTTGGCTCGGATCAGTCGATCAAGGACAGGAGTCCCGGAATCCCCTCCTCGTCCCCCGTCCCCCGTGCCCTTGTATCCATTCCCAGCCTTCCTTCAGCCCGCATCACCCATTCCCTGTACCGTGGGCACCCTATCCCATAAGAGAGGAGAAGAAAAAAAGGAATGAGGAGAAGGAGGAGGAGGATGAGGAGGAGAAGGAGGAGGAGGAGGGGGGGGAGGAGGAGGAGCGACGAATATGATGAGCAAGGGCGTTGATGATGCTGCTGATGATGCTGATGACGATGATGATGATGATGATGATGATGATGATGATGATGATGATGATGATGATGATGATGATGATGATGATAATGATGATGATGACGAGGATGATGATGATGATACTGCTAATGATGATGATGGTGATGATGATTATGAAGGAGGAGCAAATGATGATACAGACAAAGATAATGAGGATGCTTGTGATGATAATGATAATGATGATGATGACGTCTACGATGATGATGATGATGATGATGATGATGATGATGATGACGATGACGATGATGATGGCGATGATGATGGTGATGATGATGGCGATGATGATGGTGATGTTGATGGTGATGATGATGGTGATGATGCTGCTGCTGCTGATGGTGATGTTGATCATGATACCAATGCCGATTCCGATGGTGATGGCGGTGGCGGTGATGATGGTGATGGTGGAAGATGGTGATGAGGAGGAGGATCTAGGTATTACTCAGATGCCTGCGGCAAGTCCCGCCACCTTGTCAGCCCAGCATTCCGGGAGGCGACTGTTCGAGGGCGGGAGGGCCGTGAAGATGATGATTAAGAAGATGATGATGATGATGATGATGATGATGATGATGATGATGATGATGATGATGATGATGATGATGCTGATGACCACCACGATGGCGATGGTGATGCTGATGGTGATGATGATGTTAATGATGATGAATGTGCTGATGAGGATGACGCCGATGATGACGATGATCACGACGATGATGATGGTGGTGGCGCTGATGACGATGAGGATGAGGCAGATGAGGATGAGGATGATGATTAAGGTGATGATGAGGATGGTTATGGATGATGATGATGATGGTGATGATGATGATGATGATGATGATGATGATGGTGATGATGATGATGATGATGATGATGATGATGACGATGGCGATGGTGATGGTGATGATGGTACTGATGCTGATATTTATGATGGTGATGATGATGAGGACGATGATGATGATGCTCATAATGATGATGATGATGATGATGATGATGATGATGATGATGATGATGATGATGATGATGATGATGATGATGATGATGACGGTGATGGTGGTGATGGCGATGGTGATGAGGATGATGCCGATTCCGATGGTGATGGCGGTGGCGGTGATGATGGTGATGGTGGAAGATGTTGAAGAGGAGGAGGATCTAGGTATTACTCAGTTGCCTGCGGCAAGTCCCGCCACCGTGTCAGCCCAGCATTCCGGGAGGCGACTGTTCGAGGGCGGGAGGGCCGTGAAGATGATGAAGATGATGATGATGATGATGATGATGATGATGATGATGATGATGATGAATGTGCTGATGAGGATGACGCCGATGATGACGATGATCACGACGATGATGATGGTGGTGGTGGTGATGACGATGAGGATGAGGCGGATGAGGATGCGGATGTTGATTAAGGTGATGATGAGGATGGTTATGGATGATGATGATGATGATGATGATGATGATGATGATGATGATGACGATGGCGATGGTGATGGAGATGATGGTACTGATGCTGATATTCATTACTGTGATGATGATGATGAGGATGACGATGATGATGCTCATAATGATGATGATGGTGATGACGGTGATGGTGGTGATGGCGATGGTGATGAGGATGGTGGCGATGGTGATGATGATGATGATGATGATGGTGGTGATGATGATGCTGCTGCGGATACCGATGATGATGATGCTGATGATGATGATTATTATGATGAGGAGTCTGCTGCTGCTGATTATGATGATGATGATGCTGATGAGGATGCTGATTGTGATGATGATGATGATGATGATGATGCTGATGCTGATGCTGATGCTGATGATGATGATGATGATGATGATGATCTTGCTGCTGATGATGATGCTGCTGATGCTGCTGGTGCTCATGCTGGTGCTGCAGATGTTGTGTTGTTGTTGTGGTTGTGGTTGTGGTTGTGGTTGTGGTTGTGGTTGTTGTGGTTGTGGTTGTTGTTGTTGTTGTTGTTGTTGTTGTTGTTGTTGTTGAACTCTCATTTCTGAAGAATAGTTATAGTTGATCCCCCCCGTCCGGTGCACATTGTTTTTTTCGATTGAAGTGGCCTTCCCAGGCTCGCACCCTGTTTTTTTAATCAGGGAAAGTCTTGAGGGTCAAACTGCGTTGTTGGCCCCCGGATTACAACAACAACGGCTCCCGCCTGATACTTCCACACAATGTATTGAAGAATCGCGCTCTCTCTTTGGACTTCCTTGCAGTTCCACCGGATCCCGGCTCCCGCTTGATATTCCTTACAATTTATTAATGAATCGCGCTCTCGCTTGGGACTTCCTCGCAACTTACCACTGAATCGCGGCTCCCGCCTGATACTTCCTCACAATCTATTCAGATGCTGCTCGTCGACACTCAGGAATCGCGCTCCCGCTGCAGATTGCCTGGCGGTTCAAGCAGAATTTACACTTCAACGACCCGCCCGCTCGACCCGCCCGTCTGGGCCTGCCCGTCCGACCAGCCCGTTAGGGACTGCAGTCGCCGTTCGCTGGCCTTTGCCCGCCTTCGATGCCCCTCGTTGCCCGTACTGGTTCCGAGGTCGCCTTCGCTCGCTGCCCTTCGTGGCCCCGTTGCTGCCCTCAGTGGCCTTGTCGCTGCCCACTATGGCCCCGTAAAATTTGCCCCTCGTGACCCCCGCTCGCAGTCGCCCGTCGTGGCCCAATACGCATGCCCTTCGTAGCCCCGTTGTCGCCCTTCGTGGCCCTCTCGCTGCCCTTCGTGGCCCCTTTGCTGCCCTCAGTGGCCCCGCTGTCGCCCTTTGTGGCCCAATATACGTATGCCCTTCGTGGCCCCCGCTCGTTCGCGCCCGTCGTGGCCCCATATGCATGCCCTTCGTGGCCCCGCTGTCGCCCTTCGTGGCCCCCTCTCTGCCCTTCGTGGCCCCGTTTCTGCCCTCAGCAGCCCCGTCGCTGCCCTCTGTGGTCCCGGATTAATTGCCCTTCGTGGCCCCCGCTCGCTCGCGCCCTTCGTGGTCCCATATGCCTGCGTTTCGTCGCCCCGCTGTCGCCATTCGTGGCCCCCGCGCTGCCCTTCGTGGCCCACTTTCTGCGCTCAGTGGCCCCGCTGTCGCCCTTTCTGGCCCCATATATGTATGCCCCTCGTGGCCCGCGCTCGCGTCCTTCGTGGTCCCTTTGCTGCCCTTCGTGGCCCTGTTGTCGCTGTCTGTCCATTTTGGGGTCGGGTTGCCGGGGGTCGGTGTGTGCATCGCCAGCGTTGTCCGCCGCTTGCCGGGGCCCGGTTTGCCGGCCTTTGAGACGCGCGTGTTCCACTGGCCCAGGTTCTTCTGCAGGCTTCGAATGAAGGCCTCCCTCGACGAGGCCCCCGGGGCGTTCCCGCAGGTTTTCGGAACCTCTGGAATTGCTCGGTGGTCGTCGGGGCCATTCCGAGGCCCCCAGAGGTCATAGGAGGCTTTCGGGTGCCTTCAATCCCCCGCGCCCTGTTTCCGCACCAGTCTCCGCTCGCGTCCACCTGCCCCCATTTTTTAACGTTCTTCCCCAGTCTTCTCTACTCTTTCCCTTTATCTTCATTTGCATGTCGTTCGTACTCCATTGTGCCATTCCTCAGTTCTTCGCGTTCCGCCCGCCCCCCCCCAGGCCGCCCCATCCCACCCCAACAATCTCCACCACTTCGCGCTCGCATTCCGCATTTCTCCCAAATTATTCCCAGTCCCTCCTCCAGATTCCTCCGTGCGCCCCCCGCTCCTCCGCAGTTCTCCCGGTTCCTCTTCTCCACTCCTTGCCGCTCCTCCTCCTGAGACCCTACTCTTGCCCACTCCATCCCAATCCACTCCACGTCCCCGCGTTCCTCTCGACGCGGTTGCAGTTCTCGCTATCCTTCCGCCCCGGTCTCCCAACATCCCGCTTCTTTTCAGACACCAGTTCGCAGCTGCGCGCCCCCCCGTGGGGGTATCCACGACGTGCTCTCTCAAAGGGGGTCGTGCTTGGCGCTGGCTATGGCGCGACCCACGGCGAAACTTATTGTTGACCTGTGTTGGAGGGACTGGCGCGAGCCATGGCGCGAGCTGAGTCGCCACTCGCAGCGCAAAACATCGCCACCCCTCCTTCTTGCCCTTCCCCTCTCTTCTTCCGATCCCTTCGTCCTCGTTCTCCCCCCGTTATCTGTTACCGTTCGTTTTCAGGGGTTTCACCAGCCGCGCGCGGTCGGGAATGAATATACCCCCAAAAAGGGGGTACGATCGAAGACGAAGAGGGCGGGTGTCCAGGGTTTGGGATATGCATATTGAATGACACGCGAGCAGATAAGAGCGAA